AGAAGCAGGCTTCCCGCAGAGCAGGGAGCCCGATGCGGGGCTCGATCCCAGGACCCCGGGATCATGACCTGAGCTGAAGGCAGACGCTTAACAACTGAGCCACCCAGGCATCCCAGTGACATCTACTTCTTTTTTTATTATTTATTTATGTATGTATGTATGTATGTATTTATTTTTGTGACATCTGCTTTCAAGATAAAACAGACTTCAAAGTAGCACTGGACTGAGGGCATGCCTCCTGAGGGGCCGCCTCCCCCTCGAGAGCACCAGAGGACAGATTAGATGCTAGGCAGGTTTTAGAGAGAAGACCCAGAAAGGGCGGGAGGGGCAGAGTCAGGAGGACACGGCCCGACTGAGACGCGTGACATGGGTCTCAGGACCACGAGGCAACACTGCCCGTGCCTTGGGAAGGGGCCAGTAACATAGGCCTCAGCCGGTGGCTGTGAGCCGTCTACCTGCAGAGTGGCCAGAGGGGAGGCCTCCCGGGTAGACAGGCCTGGGGAGGAGCCAGGCAACAGGAAGGCCGGGCGTGGGAGCGCGGAGTGCAAGCGGCAGGGGCTGGGAGCCCCCTCCGCGGCTCCTCTGGCCCAGGCTGACTTGCAGCCACGTCTTGGAAGCAGAGGTGAGAGGAACACGGGAGTAAGAGCGCTGGGACCAAGTCTGTGCAGGGACGAGGGAGTTTCCATCTCTCCCCCACCCACACCTGTGACTAACAGGGCAGCAGACACACCTCGTCGGGCCCCAGCCCTCGGCCGGCTCGACCTTCTTTTGATCGACAGCTGATGGGTCCTGAACACCGCCCAGGGACCCCCAGCCTCTTCCGCCGTGCACCAAGGGAAGCGGGGCTTGGGGAGACAGATCAGACAGTGTTGGGCGGTTGGGGACCTCAGAGTCTGGTTGGGAGGACAGCACTGACCCAAGGAACCACCACATCTGCTACACATCGCAGTCTCCCGGCAGCCAGTGGGCTCATGCACAGGGAGCCGGAAGGAGCTGGGATGGGCTGGCCGTCGCTGTGTCCCAGCAGTCGTGGGTGGTGGCAGAGGTGTGGGAGACAAGAGGGAGGAAGGGCCGACATTTTCAGGAAAGGAAGGTGGGCAATCCGGCTAACTCCAGCCTAGTATGTTTGACATCAACCCGAGTGGGCACCATTGTAGAAGGAGTTTTTAAAGATGTGCCAGGGGTTCATCAAGAACAAGTCAGGCCACACTCCTCTCCATCCCCTTTAGGTGGTTTTCACA